GGGGGTGAGGAAGGTCAGGAGAGAGAGAAGTGAGGGCTGGGGAGGTAAGGAGGAGAGAGGGAGGGGTGGGGAAGTCAGGAGGGGGGGAACAGGAGGGCAAAGGGTTGTCATATGGACGTTTCGAACCCTCCCTCCCCTCCCACGCCTTCCTTAACCCCCCTCCCTTTCCACCTCTCTGTTGTCAGTCATTCTTAGAAGAAGAAAAAGAAAAAGAAAAATTTGGAAACAAAAATAGATTTATAAGAAAGTTTAAAAGATGCGTTATTAACATATAATTTCAAATGTCAAATTATCATGATCCTTTCAAATTTACTTATTTAATTCATAAAGGGTTAATGACGATGTTGATAAATGGGCAGTATATATCAACGTTAATAGTAATGATAATAACGATCATTATGAAGGTAATGATTAAAGAGACACCAACAACAAGGCCAATAAAGACGATAAAGATGCAATAATCACAATAATGACAAGAATAGCGGTAGTAAAGTAAAAAAAAAATAAAAAAAAATAAAAAAATAAATAAATAAATAAATAAATGAAATAAAAATAATAGTATGAATAAATGTAGCTGTTGTGGTAATTGTTATATGAGTTGTAGTGGTAGCTATTGGTAGTAATGATAACAGTTGTAGATTTGGTAGTAGCGGTAGTGAGAGTAATAGAAGTAGTAATACTAGCATTAATAGTAGTAATAGTAGCCGTAGTAGTGATTGTAGCAATGGTTCTAGTGGTAATAGAAATAGCAGTTGTAGCAACCTCTCCCCTATGATCACTGCATTCAAAGACAACAACAAAGACAACAACATTAAAAACAACAACAATAATAAAACAATAAAAACAAACGACAATAAAGAAACAAAGAACAATAAAAACAAAGAGAAAACAATAAAAACAACATATAAACAATAAAAAACAAAAACAACATAAACAAAAACAAAAACAACAAAACAAAAAAAAACAACATAAAACAAACAAAAACAAAAACAACATACAACATAAACAACAACAAAACAACATAAACAACAATAAAAACAAAACAAAAACAGCAACACCGAACAACAACAACAACAAAAACAACAAAACAACAACAAAAACAAATCATCAACAACAACAACAAACATAAACAACAACAAAAACATCATAACAACATAAACAACAACAAAACATCATCAACAACAACATCAACAACAACAAAACAAAAACAACATCAACAACAACAAAAACAAAAACAAGAACCAACAACAACAAAACAAAACAAAACAACAACAAAAAAACATCATCAACAACAAAACAAAACAAAAACAAAACAAAACATCAACAACAACAAAAAACAAACAACAACAAAAACAATCAACTCATACAACAACAACACAAAAAAACAACAAAAACACAAATCATCAACAACAAACATAAACAACAACAAACAAAAACAACAAAAACAAAAACAAAAACAACATAAACAACAACAAAACAACATAAACAACAACAAAAACAACATCATCAACAACAAACAACAACAATAAAAACAAAACAAAAACATCAACAACAACAAAAACAAAAACAACAACAAAAACATCAACATCATCAACACAACAAAACAACATAAAAAAAAACAAAACATCAAACAACAACAAAACAAAACAACAACAAAAACAATCAAACATCATCACAACAACATAAACAACAACAAAACAAAAACAACAACAAAAACAAAACAACATAAAAACAACAACAAACAAAACAACATAAACAACAACAAAACAAACATCATCAACAACAAAAAACAACAATAAAAACCAAAACAAAACATCAACAACAACAAAAACAAAACACAACAAAAACATCAACATCATCAACAACAACAAAAACAAAACAACAAACAAAAACAAAACAACAACAAAAACATCATTATCCAACAAACCAACATAAACAACAACAAAACAAAAACAAACATCAACAACAACAAAACAAAACAACAAATAACGCATCTCTTTCTCAACGAAGAAAAATGTCAAGAGATAGAAAGATTCCCCTCGGGCGTTAGTGGGGGGTCGGGGGGGGGGAGAGTGGAAAAGAGGGAGAGAGAAGGAAGGGAAAATAAAGGAAGAGAAGAGGGGGAAATGGGAAGGGAAGAGGGAGAGAGGGAGGAAGAGAAACAGGGAGAAAGGGGAGGGGGGGAAGGAAGAGGAAGAGGGAGAGAGGAGGAAGAGAAAAAGGGAGGAGAATAGGGGGAACGGAGGAGGGAAATGAGAAAGAGAAGAGAAAGAGAACAGGGGAGGAGAGGAAGGGTGCAAGGAGAGAGAGAAAGGAGGAAGAGAAAAATAGGAGAGGAAAAAAAGGGAATGGGAAAGGGGGAAGAGAGAAAAAAATAAGAGGAGAGGAGGAAAGGAGAGAAAAATAAAGGAGGAGACGGCGGAAAGGGGAAAAAAAGAAAGGAAAAGGAAGAGGAAAGGGAGAGGGAAGAGTGCTTAGACAGGGAAAGGAAGGAAAAGAAAGAAAGGAAGAGAAAGGAGAAGAAAATCGAGTTGATAAGGACAAAGGAAGGAAGAAAGAAAGAAAANCTCACTCTTGCTCTCTCTCTCTTGCTCTCTCTCTCTCTCTCTCTCTCTCTCAAACTCTTTCTCTTCTTCTTTTCTCTCTCTCTTCTTTCTTCTTTCTTCTCTCTTCTTGCCTCTCCTCTTTCCTCCGTCTTCTTCTTTTCAAGGAGGGAGTTAGAGGTGACACTGTTTCAATATTACTGTACTTAAGATAGTTTTGTATATTTTTTATACCATTATTGACTTACTGTCTTCCAGGAATTACCTCGTTTGGGATTGGGTCACCTGGAGTTCGTGTGAGAGATGTGGCAACTGTCTATGGTTTCCTATTGCTCTCACATCCTGCCCACCTTACTTACGCAGCTACAGAACAGCATACAGCATACTACCTGCCACAAGTTCCATCTTCAACCAACAGTAGACAAGGTTATAATGTCTATTCTATACAATCATGCATTTACATACTTTTCTTTATGGCAGAGAATAAAGCTCTGCCTTGAATTAACGTTGCAAGACATCAGTCTCCTTTTAGAGAATTGTCATAATGGAAAATAATATATCATCAAGTTTGGATAGAAAACCTAGCTCTTAGAGTAGTTATAATTAAAGTAAATAGATACAGCTGAGAAAAGACAGAACAGTGAATAATAATATATGTTGTCTTCCAATAGGATCTTATGTGGCTATTGGGGTTGATCTGGCAGCTGAGATGACTGATGTTCCTAGGCCAAGTCAAGAAAGCCAACGACAAGTTAGTTATTTTTCTTCTCATTTTTTGTGGCAATTGTTATCATTAGTAATACATAAGTTTGTATTATTACTACTCTTATTATTTTTATCATCTCGTCCTCTAATAAATTCATTCATTCGTGCCTTTAACAGACTGGGGATTGGATAGTAATTGGCACTAAAGATTCAGCGCTGAAGCCACAGTCAGTAAAGAGCAGTCAAAAGAAGAAAGAGCCTGACTCTCCCAACAAGAGCACGTCTCCAAGCTCAGAAGAGGAAGAGAATACAGATGTAGTGGACAGTGTGAGCAACAGCGAGACTGCCAGCGATGCGACCATGCCAGAAGTTGAGGATCAAGTGGATGGTCAGGTAATACGGCAGATTGAGACAGTGCTCTCAACAGTCATTCCAGTGGGAGAAGTTGCTCTTGCCAAGGAGGAAGAAGAACAGGATGTAGATGACGGGAGTTGCTTGACGAAGGTGAGAACCAAGGACAGAGAAGTTGAAGTGGGTGAGGAGAAGAGTGAGAAGGAGGCAGAGACGTCAGATGAGCAAAGCCAGTACAGTAGCCCTGACGAGTCGTCTAGAAGTGAGGAAACAGAAACAGACGATAGGATTCTGAGCAAGACAACTCGTTGGACTGAGGATGTGATGGACACAGATGAAGATGACAGTGATGAGGAAGATGAAAGCATAGATAATGATGACCACTCATGCCTAACACAGGTAGTGGTTGGGTTGCTGGAAATGTTGGAAATGGTGTTGAAGTATTCTTCCGACACTACCACCAGGACACTGTTGGCTGAGGCTTTATTCATGGATCAAGTATTGATCATGTGCAACCACCCTCAGCCCATTATCAGGTGTTCTGTCTTCAAGGTATCTGTTCCTTTCTTTTTTTTTCTTATTTTCTCTTGTCTGTGAAGAATATATTGTCTTCATTTGTTGTTAAAAAATGAATTTTAAATGCTTTTTACTTCAAACCAGAGTGCTGATGAATAACTATGGGTCCTCACTCTTATTGCCAACAGCTGTTTACCGTGATACTAGACAGGTGCTCCCCAGAGGACATGGTCATGCACCTGCGTCAGAATGTTCCATTAGTGATGGCTCAGCAGTTGCACAAACACAGCACGATCTCTACACAGCTTGTTACTGCTGCATTCTCCCTTGCTCTGGGACGATCTTTTACCTTTGAGGACTATGCTATTGATAGTGACCCAAGCCTTGCTCTTCCAAATCAGGTGAGATTTTCTGTGTGTGTGTATGTGTGTGATTAAGAAAGCATTGAGCTTTTACCCAGTGCAGTTTAGGCTTGGTGAAAGATAGATGTTATTAGTAGCTTTTGTTCAGAACTTTTAGAAGGGAGCAAATTTATTCACTCAGGGCTTTCTTGTGTAGGTCACTAATTCTTCAAAATCTGGTAGTATCATTTGATTTTAATACATTTGCTACATATGAAGCATTTCAAATTCTATCAAGTTATTGATAAGTTTAAGGTGAACATCCCCCCTTAAGATATGCTTCATTATGTCTTTCTTGTTTCTTACTGAAATTACAGGAGGTCAACTTTTCTATAACAATACTTTATTATGTTATAATGGGAATGTCTTACTTATAATAACTTATATTATAATACCATAATAGAAGTGTCTTATTATTTTTTTTTTTTTCACAGAAATATGACTCAGATCTTGATCATTTATTTTCATCCCAGAATAGCAAAGACAAAACTCACAGTTAGGCAATGTCATCTCCAACTCAAAATCATATGTGGTGTCATCTGAACTGGAAACACTTTGTTCATCAGCTTTTCCTAATGCCTATGAATCATGTTACCAGGTGGTGCTCTTCATTCCACTGATGGCTCTGTTGCCACACTCGGCGCAAGACATTGCTCTGTGCCACAACTCCCTTATGGTCATGCTAGACCTCCTTCACAAGGTTAGTATATGAAAACCATGATACTGATTGTAGTAGAAGTATAGCTGGGTCTTATATAATCTCATTTATTTTCCAGTTTCTATCATAGGTTATATGCTTGTATTTGTTTGTTTGCATGTCTTTGAGGGAATTGTAAAGTAGGATGACAGAATGTGGCTGCATATACTAATGTTATGGGAGCAGCTGCTAGATTAAGTGGAAGGCTGTTAGATAAAGGGACCATATTTTACCTTTTCACATTCGCCAGCACATCTGATCATTACACAGTCCCCAGATTCCTTATGTCCACATTATATTTCCAGAATACTGAGCTGATCATTCCACTCATTCACAAAGCTCACTTTGTGGACTCGCTTCTTTCCACCTTGAAGAAGTCTCTGCATGATGACAACCTTGGCATTAACGACATCACAGGTGAAAGTGAGTGCGAGGTGGTGGTGTCTGACATCACTGAAATCTTCTCCTGGATAATCAACTGCCTGGTAGCATCACCTCAACACAAACACTTCATGGTAGGTACTAGTGTATATAAGGAAACTTATTTACCATTTGCTTACAATGTTAGGAAATAGTGTTATTTTTCTTCTTCTACTCCTTCTTCTTCTAGTGGAATATGTGTTTCATATTATTAGTTATCATTAAGTTGCTTTCTTCACCAAAAATAAATAATACTGTAGACTGTTTCTGAAGGAATTTCTTCACATTACAGAAGTATAAACCCCATTTCTTTACTTCAGCTGAGTCTTGAGGTGCTTCACCAGCTAAACCTCTTATGTCGAGGAGAAGCAGCCCAGTGTGGAGGCCAGGCCAGCTGTGTGGGGCACTTGCGCAGCACTGAGGCAGCTCTCTTGCAGGTTGCTCTTACTCGCATTCAAGCTACAGCCTCCGCACATCTGCATTCTATTGGACAAGATCTAAATAACAGTATCAGAGGTATGCTTTTACATAGAGAGAGAGATAGATGATAAAGATTGGAAATATGTCACTTTGTATTTTTTTTCTCTCTATTATTGCAGCTCTTATTTTTTGCAAAGAATTACAAGACATTTCATGATGACCATTTTCTTTTCTTTTCTTTTCTTTAGAAGAGAAGACCTTTGCAGTGTCAGGATCATCCAGTCTGCACAACATCAAGCTATTTGCCACCATGGCAGCTCGAGATGACAGTGATTCAGGCGTTGGATCTGTTTTAGCCAATTACACAACTATTCCCTTCACACATAGGTCAGATATGCCTTTGATTCTTTTGAGATACATTCAGTTAATTGTCCATAGCAGTATTGTTGATTCCTACACCTATTTCCCCAGTGGTAGAAGGCAGTAGGTATTTTACCATATCATTATATCATATTTCTTTTGTTTGCAGCTTGCACAACATTGCTGATCAGCTGTTCATGTCTCAGAGCCGCAGTTCTCCATCCCTCGTTCTTAGTAATGCCAAAAAGGATGACAAACATCTTGCCCATTCTGAGATAGTTGACAGATTTAAAGTGCTGTTACAGAAAGCTACAGATTTTGTGTTCATGTCTGGTATGTGATGATTTATCTGTTTAGTTTATTATGTAATTCTACTTTGTATTAAGCTCTTTGCATATGTGAGAAACAAATTGAAAAGTAAAGAGAATCCTTATTTTGGTGTATTCTATTCTTATAGGTTTGGTATGTGTAATTTTTAACTGTATTTTTCATTGTAATACAGCATGGTCATCTGTAGAGTCTGTGGGCAATGAGATGCCATCTGGCGGTGCACCAGAAACCTTCAGCTTGTTCTTACTTGAACTCCTTTTAAGTGCAGCTGCAACCATCACACAGCGTAAAGGTAAGGTGGTAGTCATCTTTTAACTAATGTGATTTGGATAAGTCTTGTCCTTTTGCAGGTATGATTTGGATATATATGGATTTTAAGGAGTGATTCAGTTGTTTTTATCTCTTTGTTCTAGATTATATCAGTTTGACTTTTTAGTTTGTATAGTGTTATGGATTAAAAGATTTTGAACAAAAAATAGTTGTTGTGAAGTTTTCTGCTCAGTTGTAATGATTTCTACATACAACAAATTCTTGCCTTCTCTTTATTCTATTCAAATATCATACCTAAAGCCAGTTCAACCCAAACAGGCACAGCCGATCGCACTGGCTGGGAAAGTGTAGTGTGGGGCTGCCAGGATATCTTGAGACTTCACCTCACGCACCTCCTGGCTCTGGTCACGTCCCCTAGGACGCACATCCACACCCGGCTCAGAGCTGCTCAAGCACTGGCCACTCACACACGAATACAGCCTGTTCTTTCATATGCAAATAAAGCTAATCCACAGGTAATTGTTCATTACGTGGAGATACTGTAGTATTTTTATGATAAAGAAAGGAGACTTTACTTTAAAATTTCCACTGATTAATGGGTAAACTCATTCAGAAACAGTTATTATTATCCAGCATTTTTATTATACATTTTGTCTCTCTTAATACTTCCAGTTACTCTACAAAGTAGGAATCTTTATGCATGAACTGCGATACCAGAATGAGAACAAGCTAGATGCAGCAGCCATCAAGTGTTGTGAAATGGTTCTCCAGATACTAGAAGATTGTACCGTGCATGTCTTGCCTCCACCCGAGGTAAGTGTCTTCTGTTTTCTGAATCTAAGCTTTGGTTGCATTTATTAAATATTTACCTTATAAGTATTAATGGCTGACTTTTTTTGTATTTGTGCTGGCTCATCATGAATCTGTGTAATGCAGGTGATCCTCTAAAAAGATAGTTATACAGTTAATGAGTTGAGCTGATATTTTAAAATTATTCTCATTAGGCAGTGCTTTGAAACAAACTATTTTTCAAAGACAATTGAATGTTATACAATGTCCCACATAGAGTGTCTATATGTCCAGTTGCAGAATGTTTTTCTATACTAGATTATTTCACATTTCACCTGAAATACCTAATTTGCTTCCTAGCTATACCCACCTCATGGAGCCATGAAGGAGTGGAGTGTAGTCATTGAGGAGAAAAAGCAGTGGCAAGATGAGGCAGCAAAGATTGCAGCCTTAATTGTCGATCGGTGCACTAAGCAGGACAAACGGTCAGTGGTGTTCATGTGCTCTTCTCAGTTTTAAGATTCAAATAGACATACTTTATAACATTTTACCTATGAGAACAAAATTTGTTTTCCTTGGGAATTCAGCGATAATTGTTAAATTATTTAGAGTGATTTGAGATCATACATTCAATATTTTATTTTTTATGTAAATATTTCTTTTTGTTTTGTAGATCATTCATTTTTCATTGATACTTTACAAGAATTATTTGTGAATACTTAAAACAATCCCACATCAAACTGAATAAATAACTCCAATTTCACAGATTACTGACGAAAAACAGCCATATCTATGAGTCAGTAGCAGGAGAATGCAGTCGCCTCACACGCACAGTTGTAGACCGGCAGAATGTAGAAAGGAAAGTGGTTCTCGGGGGTATCAAGCACTCACAGTGTCGCCATGTCCACTTGACACATAGATGGAGAAGCTTGATTGATCTCCTCACACACGAGAGAGCTACTTGGCACTTCCCAGAAGCTTATCCAAGGTAGGACATTGAAAAAGCTGGCAAAAAGTTAGACACAATTTAGAAATTTACCATCACAATACCTATTTTTAAGCAAGAATTTTACATACTGTCACTGAGTTTCATCAGGTAGGAAGCAGTTTTATGAACAGAGGAGTATGTGGAATATGATCATGAATGCACTTTTATGAAAAAGGGGTTCGATTGTACAATTGCTGTGTATGTTCATTGAAGCATTACAAAAATTTGTATTGTGTAACTGACTGTATAAGTGAAATGTCTTAAGGGAAGTTTTAGGAGGCTGAGCACTGGTTATCCCCAGTAGCAGTCAGAATGGGTACGAAGGAAAGTGATGATTATTGGTATGAAATAGCATAGTTTTGAATTATTTTTTAGGTTGTATTTACATAGTTTATGCTGGTTGACTGAATTATATGTTAAAACTAGATTTTATGACTGGTGCTGTATCAACAGGTCTTGGCAGCTAGACCAAACTGAAGGCCCAATGAGAGTTCGCAAACGGCTCAAGAGAGGTCGCCTTAATATACAACCTCGTTACCTCATGCCTGAATATAGACAGAAATTAGGTAAGTGACATTTTATGTACATATTACTTCCTCCTCTTCTGTCTTGAAATTATATATATTGATATCTGAAATATATCAGGACAGTTCATATCTCAGATATATGAAACATGTGTAACATTTTCCTTTCAACCTTCTTTATTACAGACATAGAGAATAAACTAGCTCCTCTAGAAGCTGTCCTTCAGGGATCAGAGACTGAGTCGGCAATGGCAGTCATGATCGAACGACTTAATGTAAGTGAACGCATCATCCACATGAGCAGTGCATCTGTTGTCTCTCCAGGAATGGAACAGCGAGGTGAAATCCTCATCAGCCGAACTGCAATGTACTTTGTGGGAGAACAAGTTACAATTGACATGAACCAGGTATTACCACTGTATATGTTTGTTGTTCTTTTACTTGTTCACATTTTTTATTCTTTTCTTTTATTGTTATTTTACGTATTATATTTCTGTTGTAGATAATTCAGCCTATGCATACTTATTAATTTAGAAGTAAGTAGTAAATAAGAAGTGTGATACTGCACAAACAAATCTTCATAGATTGACCAGAAGAGGTATAATCACCAGAACAGTTATAAAAGAAGCATTCTGGTTTAGAAAATGTTGTCAGAAGACAATGTTATTTCTAAGAAATTTTCTTTTCTTATACATGTATATATATTTACTTTGATTAATTAAACCATTACTACTGGGGAAATGTACTGTCCACTGTTGGTTTTTATGTTAACCCACTCACGCCGGGTACATTTTGTAGCCAAGATAAAAAAAAATCCGGACGGCTACAAAAATCGGCGGGTGGAGCTTCCCCGGAGTCTGTCCACCTGCCGGCCGCGGCCCGATGCTGAGCCAGAGCGTGACCCCGACACAGTGTCACACTGGCAGGACGCGCGGAGTGTTTATTTTTTTCGGGTGTCTCAGATATGGGACACCCGGCATGATTGGGTTAATTTTGTTAACACGTAGATGGCTCCACAATTGGTCAGTCAATTAGTAGGCTGTATAGAACCTCACCTGATTCCCTATTCTGTTTTTTTGTTTTTTTTTTCTAATACTGTTGATATTGATGCTGATACTCTTAGCATTATTGATATTATGTTCATTAATAACAATGAAAGATAAGAATCTTTCCAAAAATCAAGGAAAATAGGAGAGGTGAGATAGGTCTACCAATTAATTCCCTGGTGACTAAGAGCTTGTGGAGGTGTCTATATGTGAAGAGAATTAATAAACTTAAATGACAGTGGACATGGCATGTACATATTTGCCATCCCCAGGGGCAATAGGATCAAAAATAAAGAAAGGATGCCAGCCTGATTTGCTAATACTTATTACCTTACATTCCAACTGCCAACAGTGTGGAAGCAGCAGCGAAGTAGTGTCTGTGACGTGGCCCCTTGACAATATCCGTGAGATCCACATCCGCCGATTCCAACTCCAGGACTGTGCATTGGAGGTCTTCCTAACAACTGGGCACTCTGTCCTGCTAGCCTTCACTGACACCCAGCACAGGAACCAGGTGGGTGATTGAGTTTCTTTTCTTTCATTTTTGGAATGGATTCATTCATTTGTTGGTTCTTTTGGAAAGCAAAGGAGGATATGGTGTGTGTTTTTTTTCTGCTTCTCCTTCTTTTTCTTTCTCTCTTTCCATGTCTCTTTATAAGATGGATGAGATTTTAATGGTTTGTATTGATTGCTTCTCTAATGAATATAATTTCTCAGTTGATAATGACTTTGATTTGAATAGGAGATTAATCCCCTGTGTATTATGGCCTCTGTATGGCATCATTTCAGTAAACCAAAGCTTCCCAGTTTCTTATTATGTCAGTCTACCAGATGCCAGATCAGCCATGGGTGTCTTGGGTGACCTCTTACTTTAAGTCGTTTTACTAACTTGGAATGGATGTTGGGCAGGGAAGATTTCTTTATGCATTCTGTTTCCTCCCTTAGGAACAGTCTTTGTATTCATTAGAACAATGATGTCCTTCTTTTAGGTACCTGATTATTTAGGTACCTTAATTAGGTACCTAATTTCATGTTTTTCATGTTGCAAATAACATGGAAATGTTGTATCTATCAACTTTTCTTCAAGTTTGCTACTAAATGGTGAAGAAATCAAAGTAATCATTTATTGATCTTAGGTTATCGGGATCTTGAGCACATCTGACCTTCCAAATCTTTCAAGCAAAGCAACTTTACCTGAAGTCACCACACAATGGAGGGAAGGTAAGACAAGTTTAGATTATTTATTATTTTCATCACCTTTGTTCAAAAAAAAAAAAAAAGATATGGGTTTCTGTTTGTATTGTGTAATGAAATAAGAAAATATATATTCTTGTTTTACCTCATTTTTCTGCAGGTCACATAACAAACTATGAATATCTGACGCAACTGAACAAGCTTGCTGGTCGTTCTTTCAATGACCTGATGCAGTATCCTGTGTTCCCCTTCATTCTCTCCAACTATATTGTTGAGATCCTGAACCTTAATGACCCAGCTGTGTATAGGTAAGTTATGACAGCAGTTAATCTTGGCTAATCCACCACGTTTTGTTATTCTTTTCTTTTGTTTTTTCCATGTTATATGAAATGTAAATATATTTAAATTTTCATGTTTTATTTATTATCCTGGTAAATGGGTTAAAGAATGTATTAATATCATTATGTTCAAATAGTTTCTGTTTTCTTTCAATCCTTTTTCTTTCTTTAGCCTCCTGAATTGATTACTTGATAGTAGAGCCAGAGATATTTTCATATAAAAAGGCAATTTGAATAGCTCTCATAATGAAAGTCTGGAATAATTTATCAAAAACTCATCCACAGGAATTTGAAGAAGCCTATTGCAGTACAAAACAAACACAAGGAGCAGCATTACATTAATAACTATGAGGTATGTTTGTATCCTCATTTATTTTCATCCTTTTAGCTCACTATCACTCACTTTTAGTAATGCAATTTTTTCTAGAAATATAGGAGATACAAGGGAATCTAGCATCAGACAGTACTTTTTCATATAAAGTTTCTCTTTTTTAGTTTATCCTTACACTTTCGAGAACCTAGTGCTTGTCTGGAAATAGTACACTACATGTGCATTGCTCTCCTTATTGTTACTTTAGCTTTAAAGTCCTCATAACTAGGTTAATATACATACAATAAATAATGTTAGAACATATGATTTGATGCATAAGTTTATGTATAAATGTATATACTCTCTCTAGATAACGAGGCAGATGAGTCAGAATGCAGGCGATGGTCCTTACCACTATGGCTCCCACTACAGCAACTCAGGCATAGTCCTCCATTTCCTTGTACGACTGCCTCCCTTCACACAGCTCTTTCTTAGATATCAAGGTAATGTGCAGATGTGGGACGGAGGACAGGCTTTAATTGTATTAAATTATATTGTTTCTCTCTCACTCTTTTTTCTCACTTTTTTCACTTTCTTGTCTTTCGTTCTTTCCTGTTTTTTTATTTACCTTTCCTTTCCCTCTTTTCCTTTTTCTTTGTACTCATTTCTTGCTCATTTTTCTTCTGATGATTTTTAAAACCTTTTCTGAATAAGTTTTTCCTTGTGTTATATTAATACAAACTATATAATTCTAAGTTGCCCAAGATAACTTCCGCATTGATTTGGTCTGATAATAAAACTGGTGTTGTCATCTTGGTCGTCCCCAAAGATATGCATGTTCAGGATATATAGGCTAATTGATGTTAGCATGGACATAAGCTTTACTTACATGTGATGCAAAGATGTAAATAGTTGGTTATCACTATATTTAGATGTAGTTATGATGAAATTTGCATTTTAGATACTCAGAGTATGTAGAAAATGAGTGCTGTTTTTACTTCTTTTAACAAATATGGATTTTTTAAGAAGTTTTGATGTGTAGGTTGTCAATTTTTTTTACATCCCAGTTGCCCCATCACTGAAAACTACTTTTAAAGCTGGAAAATCACTTTTTCTCAATTTTCAGATGGGAACTTTGACATCCCAGACCGTACTTTCCATGCCGTTCAGACCTCGTGGCGTTTGGCTTCCTGCGATTCAACCACAGATTTCAAGGAACTTATCCCAGAGTTCTTTTTCCTGCCAGAAATATTCCTTAACTCTGAGGGTAAATATGGATCTCAATGGATTTTCTCCACAAATATTCCTTTTTCTTTCTTCTATTTGCCTGTGTGGCTTGGCTTACGGATATATACACATGTTTTTTGCATTCCTGTCTTGTGTTTTGCATGTGTATATGCACATGCTTAAAGAAAATAATTATGCTTTTTTTTGTATTGCTAAAATGTCTTATATTACAGGTTTCAACTTTGGTGTTCGGCAAAGTGGGGAAAGAGTGCACCATGTCCATCTTCCTCCATGGAGTGGAGATGATCCAAGAAGGTGAGGGATATTCAAAGCCATGGTTGTCAAACTTCTGTGTGTGCTGGGAAAATACAAAATACATTTATGTATTTTATCAATAAGAATCAGTGTCTTTCTGTTCCCCCCAATTTCTTTCTCTTTTTCTTTCCCTCTTCCCCTTTCTCCCCCCCTGTCCCCATTGATAACTCTCTAACTCCTAATTCTTTTTCACAATAGGTTTGTGCTTGTACACCGTGCTGCCCTGGAGTCACCATACGTGACTCAGAACCTTCACCACTGGATTGATCTTGTGTTTGGTCACAAACAAACTGGCCGTGCAGCTGTTGAAGCAATCAACGTCTTTCATCCTGCTGTAGGTTAACTTTGTTTGATAGCATATTTCTAGTAATTTAGCTTTGAGTTTTAGGATTTTGCTTGTTATTGTATAATGCAGTTTGTTTTATAAGGACTGCAAAGTTTTGAATTTTTTGAGCAATAATAAGTGGTTTCATCTGACTCAGACATACTTTGGGTATGATGTTGAGAGTGGTGGAGACGAAATAGGCCGAGAAGCGAGGAAAGCAATGATCAAAACATATGGGCAAACTCCTCAGCAGTTGTTTAGCCACCCACATCCACCTGTTAGTAATGCTGGAATTGCACAAAACCCTCAGGTATGTAACTAACACATGCCTCTTTTTTTATCTTGCCTTATTTTTATAGCATCTGTACAAGTTATTTGTTATAATCTCTTCCAAGCCATTACTAGTGGTTAATGTATCAATATTGTGCTCATGTTACTGGTTGATACATGAAGCATTTTAGACTCCAGAAATACTGACTATCTTTACCAGGCACCAGAAGTCCTACATGAAGTACGAGGGCTTCGTTGGGGTACGTATGCTGGTTCACCTGCAGATGATCGACCTATTTTGGCATTGGTGCAGTTACTCAAAACACCAGCTACCTACGTCACCAGTATATCAGGAACAGAGTTGCTGCTGATGCCTCCACACACACATCTTGTCACAGCTGGAGTAGAGAAAGGACTTATTTGGGCAGGTGAGGTTATTTCAGATTTAAGACACTAATTTCTGTGGCAATCTTCATAACCTAAAGGTTTGAGATTGTGACCGAGTAATATGTATATATTTTTGTAGAATTTGTTATTCATGAAGATGATATGCATAACCCACTAACAACGGGTGTCCCACATATGAGACACATTAGAAAAAATAAACATTGCCGGGCGTCCCGCCAGTTTGACACTGTATTGGGGTCACGCTCCGACACAG